AAAGTGGCGAAGGAATAGACCCTGTACTGAAGTTGGTAAGGACATAAGGATGTCGGAGGTATAGATGCCTGAGAGTCACACTCCCCAAGAGATCTGAGTGCACACAGAGCCTCCTAGAGTGTGCAGAGCCCCTAAATTCTGCTACACCCAGGGCATTCCAGGGGGCGGGGCAGGGGCGGGGCAGGGGCAGGGCAGGGGGAATGGAAAGCTGGACCTTGAAAAAGCTTCCCAAGCTATGTGGATGATCCACCAAGTTTGAGGATGGTTGTTTTGATTCATTTTCGCTCTCTCTCCCCTCTCCCTCTCCCTCCCTCTCCCCCTTCCTCCCTCCCCCCTCCCCCTCATTTAAATTCAGAAATAGGAAAACTAGGGAAGATAAGACTCGGAAGATAGAGCAAATGAGAGCGCAGAGATGTAAGCGCCTTGCCAAGCTGACACAGTCAATAACGACCAGCCCAGTAAGCAGGTGTGGAACACACCACCCACACGAGGAGTTATCGGACCGGACCGAAGAAGTGAAATGGAATGTAAGACTCAACCCCTGCACCTGAACCCAGAGCACAGACTAGAAAATCCACCAGTGGGCATCATTGTGAGAAGTGGGTCAGTGCAAGACAACCAAGAGAGCAGCGTGGACTGTGAGCCAGCGACATGGAAAGTACCTGCACATAGAAGGGTGTAGGCCTGCGGCAGCCAGGGAGAAAATACACACACACACACACACACACACACACACACACACACACACACACACACACACGGCTGAGAAGGGGGGGGCTCAGGAGGCTGAGACAGGAGGTCCATGAGTTCAAACCTGGGTTACTTAGGGGAGACTCTAGCTCAGAAAAAAAAAATAATAACAGAAAAAGAAGGAGGCAGAGGAGAGAGGAAGAACACTGACCGCTTTCACAGAACCAACAAGACTCAGTCTGCGGGTGACACCCAGCCCAGCTGGTGTCATAGTTTACAGCCTCTGTCCTGGAGGGTCACCCAGACCAGTCAGTCCCCTTCGGAACCCTTAAGCTTCCTCCAAACATTGCACTGCAGTGGTGGGGTGTGGGGGTGCTGTCCACCAGGGTGAGTGAAGGCCTGGTGTGTCGCTGAGTGTGCAAGGGTGAAGCTTCTGGCCTCCTTCCCTCCTCCCAACTAAAAATGAATTCCAGGCCAGCAGGCCACAGCTGCCCACTGTAGCAGGGTTGAGATCTCCAGGTCAGAAGGGACTAGCTGGCCAAGGGTTACCATCATCAGGGGATGCAGGGCATAAAAGAATGGGAGGAAAAGTCTGGGGTCTTCTAGAAAGCAATGCCTCCTTGAAAAGAAGGGAGAGACAAGAGAGAAGCTTTGGCTTTTAAAACACACACACACACACACACACACACACACACACACACACACACACACACCCCTAAATCCTCCTCAGGACAGAATGTCCACAGAGGCCCTGGCCAGTCACTAGAATGAACGCCATGCCATCTCATCAAATGGGACTGACTTGACCACTACCTGGCCTTTAATACTACAAATTAATTGCCTTCTTTTTTGGCTCCCAGTGAGGGGAGGAGCCTATCTTCTTTGTTGATAGTTCCAGCCTCAAGGCACAGCACAATGCTTGGTGAGTAGTAGGTACTTAGTGGATGGACCGCAGACAAGTAATTGGCCCTAAACCATTTTAATATCATGTCAGCCATTAATAGGAGCAACATCAGCACAAAGCACTTAACTCACAAACTGTTGCCTAAATCCTCTGACTTTCTCCAACTGAACTGCTGTGTGTGTGTGTGTGTGTGTTTGGATGTGGCCCAGGAGACCACTGGTCTTTACAAGTCGGATGGCCCAAGAGCCAACTCCAACAGAGCTGTCTGCACAGCGGCTTGGCCCTTGCTCCCTTGGGATCCTGAAACACTGCCCACTGCTGAACTGTCATATCTTGGAACGGATGAGTGTATTAGGGCTCAGTGTACCTGGCATCCTCGGGCCAAAGGAGCTCAAACAGAAACATGGGGCATGGCAACAGCGCTGCCTAAGGTTAAACTCACTGGCTCCAAAGTCACGCTGTTTTGTTGTTCTCCCAGGGGGTGACCTTGGACCTCACTTGGCCTTGAAGACCTCACCTCTAACAACTATATAATAGCAATCATGACTTCAGGGATGGCGAGACGGCTCAGCTGGTAAAAGCACTTTGTACAGGTGTGAGGACCTGAGCTGGGATCCCCGGAACTCTTGTAAAATCTGGACACGTAGCCTGAGTGCCTGTCATCCTGTGGGGAGACAAGAAATGGAGCCCGGAGAACCTTCCAAAGCTTCGGAGCCAGCTAGCTTGGCATACACAGTGAAAGAACACCAGAGACCCTGCTTCAAGACGCAATGTGAGGGCCTGACACCCAAGGTTGTCCTCTAACCTCTGCACACAAGCCGTGACATGGAATCAGCCATATTCACACACACACAGGAACGCACAGAGAGAGAGAGGCGAGGGGAGAGGGAGACAGAGTGACTTCACAGAGGCCTGTGAGACAAGCCAGGAGCCTCACGGAGTGACTAGCACTACACCTGCTGCCTGACTTGGGGGAAGGGAGACAGAGTTGTGAGGACAGCCACTGCTTTCCAGGACCCCGCAAGCCACTGCTCAGCAGCATGAACTCAGTCACTTCCCCGGCTTCCTAGACCTCAAATCCCTGTTCTCTGCTACAGGGAGGGCGTGGTCACCAGGAACAGTGGAGGAGTGAAGGATCAAGTGTGTTAAGGACTCTGCACAGAGCCTGGTGCGGTTCCTCAGCGTGAACTGGCACTTGAGCATCGTTGCACAAAGTTGTACGAGCCTAAAGTACCGCCGGGAAAAATCCACAAAGGCTGTTTGCCCCACACAAATAGGCCTTCCCCCTAGCCCCATCAGCTGCAAGGTTCTCCACCAGCTCCCAGAAAGAGCTTCTGACCCCTCTGTCTGACCTAGGGAACATTGGGAAGTCAGTTCGAGGGGCAGGGCTGGCCTCCCCCCTGGGAGGTGCAAGTCAGCTGTTCCAACTGCCTCTGCCCCCACAGTGCTGCAGCCTGACAGTGAGCGAGAGGACATGCAAATACACCCTAAAAACAGCCTGTCATCTTCACGGCCTGGATGGTACATGTCTGTGGGTGCCTGTGAGGACAGAGCGTCACTACCAAGTACAGGGCATATGCCACCAGTCTGGGGGTGGCTGTGAAATGTAAAAATACCCAACCCCAAAATGGTTTTTTTTTTTCCTCCAAAAAAAGGAAGCGCCTCCAAGGTCTTTGGGGGGAGGTGAGAAGTGGAAAACGCTGCACCCCCAGGAAGGTCACAGCTGGGCCAACGCTTACCCGAAGTTGCTGGTTTCATCAAGCCACTCTCGGCCTCAAAGTTCAATGACACTGTTCAGTTAGCGGCTCTCATAACAGGAAAACCCAGAAAGGACCACTTTCAGGTCACGGGCCCAGGAAGAGGAGAAGCAGAGGGCCAAAGACAAGGGTCTTCCATGACAGCATTGCTACCCATAGCCCATTGTCCCTCGACAGTAAGCTCAGTCAGTTCCCATCTTGGAATCAGTGGTCTTTAGTAGACGCCAGTGATGCCCTTCATCCAGGTGTCTCAAGCCCAGAGGCTCCAGGAGGGACCGTGCGGTGGAGGGCGAAAGCAGTGAGTGTTAAGATAGGTCAAACCAACAGAAAAGGTCGAGCCAAGGTTCAAGGGAGGCATCAGGGTCTATGGTAATCAAGAGTGAGACAACTCCCTCCATCCATTTAGCCTTTGTGAGGCCTGGCCGGAGGAGCAGTGTGCAACTGGATTTTCCAATTTTTTTGCTGAAAATTTTAAGTGAAATAACAGGCTGGGTTGCTCTTAAAACACTGAACAGGCCAAACCAAACACATCTGAAAGCCAACTCCAGCCTGCAAAGAGCGAGCTTGACACTCAGGGCAAGCCCCCAGAAGCCCTTCTCTGCCGCTTTCACAGTACTCACGTGGAGAGAGGGGACAAGAAGAACAAAAACCCAGTAAATGCACACAGTGTGCATCCTGACATCTTTCTCTATCCCAAAGACCTTCTCTCCACAGCTTCCAGCTTCCAAGCTCTGAGTCTCCACTGAGGCTTACCTTTGCAAGTGAGCGCTTCCTCCAGGCAGGACCACACACACACACACACACACACACACACTGCTTGGCCACTGCCTGCTCCCAGCCCACCCTAGCCCTGGCTCCTTCCAGGTGGTGGATTTTTGGAAGAAACAGTCCTGCAGGAACCCTCACCAGGTATTCCTTTGGACAAACCACATCACCAGCTCTGGGTAAATGCACGAGGCCTGCACTCCACTGGTACACTGGGACCCACGCTGGGGACTGTTGCCTCTCACTAGTCACTGGGGAACAGCTGTCCTGACACTGTGAGGTCCTGAGAGCAGCAGGTGCAAGAGACCTCAGAAGGGGGGTGCTTCCATGAGTCAGCCCTCTGCAAACCCCATCTCAGGCAGGTGGTGCTGGAGACTGAAGCCACACCCATCTTTGCAGGAGCATAAAGAGGAAGGCTACACTCTCCTTTTTCCTAATTTCCATTGTTCAGCTCCAGATGGGAGCCAAAAAGGCTAGAGACCATCAACACTGACTTTTAAAAAGAATTCAATGCCCTCTATGCTTTTCAAAACATTCGCACACCTCCATGACCTCTATTGATCCTCCCAGCACCCCAGAGAAACTAAGGTAGTATTCTATTCGTGCTCAGTATTATCATCAGTCTCCTCTCACCTCCTAGACCCACAGTCAGGGTAAGCCTCCTGCCCTTGCCCAGTGCAGCTCAAACTTGAATGCATGCACGAATCCCCCAGAGCTTGGTAAAAACACAGGTTCTGACTCAGCAGGTCTGGGATGAAGCCTAAGAGTCCCCATTCCTCCTACCGGTTCTCAGACCACGCGTTGAAGAACGCGGCTGAGGTTCCAAGGTGTGTTTAGAGCCACACCTGGAAGCCTGGGCTTTGTCTGGAGAACAAGGGTCTCACCTCACTCTTCACAGGTTGGGGCCTCTTGCCCAGTTTCACCTCCAGGAAGTGCAAGGGCGCAATCATGGCCCCAATGTTGCGGATGTCAGCGTATTTCAGCTCCTCTGTGGTCAGAGCAGAGCTGGGAAGTCCGGTGAGGGGGCCGAGCCCTGGCAGAGAGCCTGCGGTCACCGAAGGGTCCGGGATCTGCCCAGGCATCATAGCAGGAGGAGTGGTAGGCCGGCCTGGAGGGGTTGGAGAAAGCAGGATGGGTAGGTTAGGTTGAGAAGAGACTCTGTCAGCTGCAGGAACCCATCCTTTCCTCACCAGGGTTCCCTGAATCCTTTCTCCTCCCGGGTGTTCTTCCCGCCTGTAAGCCCCAAGTCCTGGTGATACAGGGAAACTCAGCCAACTGACTCACGCTAAGGCCATCCATCTCTGGCACGCAGGGAAGAGTTGGCCCTTTTTAAAAGACGATGCTTAGCCCAACTGTGGGCAACGTTTATCTGGCACTGGATGGCACCAGGCTGCCCGTAGTCTTCCCACTCACCACACCAGACCCGGCCAGAATCCCTTGCAAAGGCAGAAAGGTAACTCCTCGGGGCTCTGCACTGACGCTGTGGACTGGGGGTGAATAGCCGCGGCAGCCTCTGAAGAGACTGAGCGGAGACAGCCCTGGAATCACAGGCACCTTCACACCTGTTCAAGAGGCAGCTATTTTGGGCCTGGCATGGTGCCTCCCCTCAAATCACACATCCTACTCGGCACACTTGTTAAGACACCACGAATACAAGCTGAACCTAAGCAAAGTTAAAGGTGACTGTGTCCGTGTCCAGTGCCCAAGGAAGAGCCGGGGGTGGGGAGGGTGGGGAAGATGGAATTAATCTGCATGTACTTTCTCTGTGCACCCCAAGAAAATTCCTTCAAGAGCTCTCTGTTCTCAGAGCCCCATACAAGGAAAGACAGAAGCCAACTTCAAAGGACATAAAAGGGAGATGAACAGCCAGGGAATTCTTATTTCTTCCTTCCCTCTACTGAGGAAATCTCACAGGTCCAGGCACAGATACAAGGGAAGAAAGTCTGTCTGCCAATAAACGTATCTAAACGTCTAGACATACCTAGTCCTCCAGCCCACCCATCCATCTATCCGTCCCCTCATCCTCCGTCCATCCATCCAATTGCTATACAACACCAGCTATTATGAACCAGCAGGCACCACAACACAGAGGTCAGAGGTTCATAGCCTCGACGCAGCCTCGTACAGAACAATCTAAAACAAAAACCATTCACACATTCCAGTGCTATAAGGGAAGTAAGTTCACTCTTTCCCCACCTCTCTGCCCAGGTCCATAAAATCCAATTTTTACAGTCTTGGAAATCACGGGTAGTAGGCAGGCAATGAACATGTGTTCCATCCTTGCACTTCATCCGTCTCTTTGTGGAGAAGGACACACAGGTCAGGACAGCGGAGATGGACATCAGCTGGGCCAGGCTTCTCAGCTGTCGGAGTTCAAGTACTCCTAAGGCCGTGATGTTTGGGGCTATCTGTCCTCATATATAAGTGACCCTGGAGAGTGACCCTCACCACTTGTCCTCATTCAATTTCAGGGATCTAGGATCAAGAGAAGGATGCACCTGGAGCCCATTTTTATCCATGAAAACAAGACACATTCTCCATTTCACCTCTAAGGGTAAACTCTGCTTCCCTATCTAAGTCTTGAGCCTACTTATTTATTTTTTGTTTTATTTGGTGTGTAAAGGTGTTTTGCCTGCATGTATGTCTGTGCACTGTGTGGGTGCAGTGCCCTTGAAGGCCAGAAGAAAGTGTCAGATCCCCTGGGACTGGAGTTACAGAAAATTTTGTGTAGTTGTGTTTTTTGTTTTGTTTTGTTTTACTTTTGGGGGCCCAACACCCAGTTCCCAAATAAATACATGGAGGCTTATTCTTACTTATGAATGCCCAGCCTTAGCTTGGCTTGTTTCTAGCCAGTTTTTCTGAACTTAAATTATCCCGTCTACCTTTTGCCTCTGGGCTTTTGCCTTTCTCTATTCTATATACCTTTCTTTACTTCTTACTCTGTGGCTGGTTCTGTGGCTGGGTGGCCGGCCCCTGGCTTCCTCCTCTCCTCCTTTTCTCATTCTTCCCTCTTCTTTTCTCTCCTATCTATCCTCTCTGCCTGCCAGCCCCGCCTATCCTTCCTCCTGCCTCTCTATTGGCCGTTCAGCTCTTTATTAGACCAATCAGGTGTTTTAGACAGGCATAGTAACACAGCTTCACAGAGTTAAACAAATGCAACATGAAAGAATGCAACACATCTTTACATCATTAAACAAATATTCCACAGCATAAACGAATGTAACACATCTTAAGCTAATATTCCACAACAGTTGTGAGCTACCATGTGAATGTTAGGACTCAACCCCAGGGCCTTTGGAAGAGAAGTCAGTGCTTTTAACTGCCGAGTCACCTCTCAAGTCCCTGAACCTGTCTCTTAAAAACACATGGGTGATTTGCATGCACCCTCAAACGAAAGACTTCATTGGATGTCATTTTGTCTAAAGAAAGACACATCTGGATGGTGAGCTGGCTTCTTCTGCAGTACCACATGGCCTCTGTCCATCGCATGGCCGACAGAGTCCTTGTCTTGTAGGGATCTTTCATCTGAGCTCCACCTACTATACCCTCAACATCTGGTTCTCCCTGCTCTTAACACCCTCTTCCAACATCCTAAGCACCAATGAGCCCCCACCCACCCCCAACCCCGTCACCTCAGAAAAGGACCTGAGACTCATTCACACTGAGTGGCAGTCTCACAGCTGGAGAAGGCCCTGAACTCATCTGAACCACATCCTCATTTTGCACAAGAGACTGAAGCTCAGAGAAGTAAAATGACTTGCCCAAGGTCACCCAGCTGAACAAGGACAGAGCCAAGACTAGACTCTGGTCGCTAGTTTGGGACCCTGCCCTTTTTTTTTTTTTTTTTTTTTCATTTCCCTTCAGGAGGTTTAAGAGGTGTTAATGCCTTCAGTAGAAGACCGTGTCCCCCACTGACAAACTTTGACCTAAGAGCCATAGTATAGGACCCTCTGTTTCCTATGGAGACCCGGTTCTAGGAAGGTCCCCCTAATAGCTCCAGAACAGCTTGAGTAGGAGGATCCCATGTAAAACAGGCACGAGGCCCTTCCCACATGGACATACCTTAACCCCAAGGTGGTACCCAGGGTCAGGGACTGAGTGGGGTCTGTGGTACAGAGGGTCTGAAGCTAGCACAGGAAGAGGCCTCCCCGGAGCGCCCTTGGGCAAGCTGCCATCTCCCTAGAAGAGGGAAGGGGGCAGCCGCCAATTCCTTCCCCTGTGTGGCAAAGCTTTGCCAGGGCCCAGCTGTTCTACCACCCGAGAGCAGGCCACGCTGGTTGTTACTCAGGTGATCCCACTGCCTACTATCATTTCCGGCACAACAGCATAATGAAGAAAGACTGGTTGGATGAGTGAGCGTGTGAAGAAAGGAACAGCAGCAATCCATGGCCGAAAACTTTAGTATGCAGGGTATGGATCACTCTGGAGTCTTACAGGCTCCCTGCTAAGCCACACTTTTTCCTCCAGGCCATTTGTTCCCATAGAAGAGCCCAAGAGAAAGCCCCCAAGGGCTTTGGCTCATTTCTCATCTCAGCCATCCCTTCACGATGGAAGCCAGACCTCACTCTGTTCCCGGAATGGCAGGCCCTGTTTGCAGCTTGTTTACGTTCATACAGATGGTATACACGGGACACTAACAAACGCTCCCGACAAATAATGAATTTTCTGCTACCGAGGAACTCCCCCTCCCTGGGAATAGTTGCTCCCCAAATTCTTGCCATTCCTGTCCCCCTGTGAATCCATCCCAAAGACAAATCTTGGACAGGGGACCAAGCAATAGGCTTTCTTTTGTAGAAGCAAAAAAATCACCCTCTCCTTCCCCGGCTTGGGAGCCCTAACTGCTCAGATGGAAACCACAGAGTCCTTAACACATGCCATTCCTAGGAGACAGCCACAGCACTGACACTCACCAGGGAGGAGTCATCCCTCTCGGCTGTCTCGGGGGAGGGGGAGGGGAGGGCAGAGGAGCCGCAGCAAAATGGAAGCCCATTGATTGCAAAGCCACCGGTAGACTTATCCAAGGCCAAAAGGCAGCGTTGGTGTTTTGGAAAACAAAACAGTTCCATGTAATTTAGAGAATCTGTAAAAAGCAGAAGGGTTGGAGATGGAAGGAACTCTCAACAACGAAGAGGAGCCCACGGCTTCAAGGAAGACGACGCGGGAAAGATGAGAAGAGGTAAAGTCATCCGCCACAGTCCTCGTTCCAGACAGAAACAATTCAGTGGGAAATGAGAAGTGCACACTGGATGCCCTAGAAGAAAGACCTGATTTTTCTTCCCTTCCGGGCCTCGGAGGTCTGCAGTAAAGATAGACACCCTCCATGTCTCCATGAGTAACTAGGATGATGATCAGTACAGACCAAGTTCCCAATAGTCCCCATTTGGGTGTTTTGCCTAAAAATGCGGAAGAGAATCCAAAGTGACTATGGCGATTTGGGACACTGACCAGGGATAAGTTGGAAGTTAGCCCATGAAGGAAACCCAAGCTAGGTATGTATCCAAGTATCACCTGCTACTTCCCATGCAAAAACAAAATAATTTAATAAAAAAAAAAAAAAGCAAAAAGAAAATGCCCAAAGCCAAGACGACAAGCCCAGTACAAATAAGACTTCTAGACAAGGGTCAAGGGTCACAAGGACCCTAAGCCGCTGTGGAGCTAAGATAATGGGAGAACCGACGAGGCCCTCTGAAAGCCAGCTTAGAGAAAATGGGACAGATGGGCTCAACGGGAAAGAACTGGAGGAAATATCTAGTATTTTATACGTCTGTGCTGACTTCCTTGGGGACTTGCAAGAACACAGTAGGGTGCTGCGTTGGATGCACAGAATAAAAAGCCACCAAGTTTTTCCAGGCCAAAAATAGCCAGCGGCAGATATGAACACCAAGAGTCCTTCCCCTCGAGAGAATAAAGGTGGCAGGAATTTGCTCAGCTTCTCCACTTGCTCTTCTTGTTCACCGTGTGGAAAGCAACACAATACCCCACGTCTTTTTGTACGCCTGTAAGTCACGGTCTGACTTTGGCAAGCCACACACATAAAGGGCTCTCCTTAAATAATCATCATCTTCCTCTAGAATACCAAAAATAGGTTTATAAAATTAAAAAAGACTAGTTGAAAAGAACATAGAACCTAACTTCTAGAACTTCAGAAAAAGTGTGAACTCCCTGGGCACCTATAAAGACAGCTGCTTGCCACGTGAGCAGCCAGCCTCGGCTGGCATAGGGACTGGTGTACAAACAGATGCAAGATGGCTTCAGGTTTGAGGCTCCGGACTGAGAGAGAGCAGAACAGGAAGAATAGAGGAGGGAAGGGGCGAGACTGCCCACATAACCCCAAGAGTGGAGCCCAAGTCAGAGTCGGGGAGCCATGATCAAAAAGCAGGAAGACTTGGGAGCTGGACTCTGGGAGGTTCCCAGGAGGGTAGGAGATGTCCACGGGAGGGGACAGAAAGGTGGTAGGCCAGTGACCACAGAGTGCGGGACCGATGGTTAGGAATCCCAGGGAAAGCGAGACATGGTGGGGTTAGGGGATTTGGTCGAAGTTTCACAGTGAGGAAGCAAGCCCAAGTCTTCTCAGAGCTATACAATCAGGCAATGATTTATTTCCAATAATCTGAATGGTACTGCCAAACAGCCTCCAAAACCCAAAGAGACCCAGAGGGCAAAGAGCTAAGGAATGGGCAAAGCACCTGGGTGACAGCAAGGTGCTCCTCTTGCAAAAGCTGGCCCGAAGTCTACAGATAGGTGAAAGGGAATCCGTGGGGCCGGATGGTTGAATGTAAAACCTTGCTATGTGACCTAAGGTGATTCTGTGACCTCTCTGGACACCAATTTCCTCACTATACAGTGGTAATGACATCATTTGCCTCGTAAGGCAGTAGAGAAAATTAGATTACTTAGCATTTGTGAAGCACCTGGAACAGCCCTTCACTTGATGAGCTGGGGGGTCAGGGTGGCACGGTATTCCTTTCTGGGGAGGCACCAGCACCAGGTGACCCCTCCAAACCACCTCTAGATCGTCCCGTCTATCAATGTTCTCTCTTCCCATAGTCATGAAGAGGGTTCTCCCCACTCCTCTCCCTGCTCTGCTCTCCCTCTTCCCAACTCTAAGCCCCAAGAATGCAGGGCCATAGTGCATCCTGACAGTGAATGATAGCATAGAGTGGGAAGGTGCTGAGTCAGGGCTGGGTACCAAAGGACAGAAATGAGGCCTGGCACCTTCAGCTTGCCTTGGTTTCTCCTAAAGTGTCCTGAAACTTGCAGGCCCAAAGTCCAGTGGCATGTGTTCTTCACCACGGGTACCACTGATGGGCTAGGGCTCTGGCCCTGCTCCAGAAAAACAGAGTGCCAGTATCTTTTACCTCTTTGGCTGGTCACTAGGGATTACTCATGGGCTGTCATGGGAAGATGAAGTGGGGCAGCTGGGGTCAGGAGAAGCCACAGCATGCTGGCAGGAATGACTTCTGCAGAGCTGTCCCAGCCATGGAAGAAGCCGGAACTGTCCCCCAACAGACTCCTGCCCTTCCCTGGAGGCCAGAAAAATGTCTTTCACAAAGCTCTGCCTGAAAACATGGCTCTGTCCTCTGCCCAATGTAGAGGATCAATAAATGGCACCAAATTATTTCTGCCAGAACCCATACTGGGGAAAACTATAGGGAACCAAGAAGGTCCTACCGCTAGACAATCGCTCTCCTCAGCCTTCCCTCAACTCTGTCCCTTAGTGGCAAGGCTAAATAGCGCAATGCAGGGGACAGACCATGGTGTATGATGGCTTTGGTCCTAAAAAAGAAAAGGGGGAAAAAAAAGACATTGGCCAGCTGAAGTTTTAGAAACACCAAAACCCCATGGGCTGCATCCAGAAATCAGACTTCACGGTGGGCTCTGGCCAGTCCTCCCACCTCCAGTGAGTGCAGAGAAAGACTGGAAATTCCAAGCCTGGGTCATTAAGGCATTTGTCTCTGCTGAGTCTCAACAAACCACACACACACACACACACACACACACACACACACACACACACAAGAACACACACACACACAGGCACACTGAGCTTGGCAGCCCTGGAGCTCCGAGAGCTGGTAACACAAGCCATGGAACTGACTGCCAAAACAAGCAGTTGAATGAGCCAGACCAAGTTTCATTGGCCACCATACATTGCATATGGGCCCGGGACGAAGCCAAAACAGTGTTCTCACCCTCCTCAAAGGCATAGGAGACCCTCTGTTTCCAAACACACCTCCACAGAGCCTTAATTAAAGGAAAATGGAAAAAGAGCGTGCCTGTGGCTCTCCCCCTACCTACAGAGGTATTCGCACACAGAGCCCTGCACACACACTCTTTATTGCTTCCTCCGGTTGCCGGCTTCAAACCCAAGTCATTCCCACGGAAAGAAAAGTCCACTGCATTCTGCCGCAGAAAAGAATACAAGTTGTCCTCCGCCCTGGAGGGTTGGAGGGGCCGAGGAGAGTTAGAGCTGAATGAACACAGGCCAGGCCAGCCTAGAGAGTCTGTGCTGACTCCTTCCTTCCCAGAGTGGAGAGAGAGGGCGGGAGAGAGGGAAGAGGGAGATGGGGAGAGAGAGAGCGGGGATATGGACTGCATGCCACACCAGGAGTTATCCTTAACAGACAGACGAGGCCCAGAGGGCCTCGCTCTGCAGGTTGAAAAGGTGGGAGAGAGGACATCCCTGCAGACAGGTGGGAGAAAAAAAAACAGAGCTTGGGCCGGGGGAGGAGGAGGAGTTCCCTGGCCGCTGCTAAAGTAGGCAGTGTGGATGAGTAAGGGAGACACGTACCAAAGCTTTTCCTAAGTAACATCGTCACATGATAGACAAATCTCCTTGGAGATGACTGCAACCAATTTATTGACCAAAAAAAAAAAAAAAAAAAAATCAGAGGCCTTCTCCCCCAGCACTCCTTCAAACCCCACAGCCCCCCCAGCTCTTCAGGAAGATTCTGGAGCTGCCTGCTCCTCTGAACTGAAGCCAACGTGGAGGGGAAACAGAAGATTCTTTGAGAAATCCGTCCTCCCTACTTGAAGCAAAGCGAAACCCTGAGCACCCAGAGGTATCAGAATAGTTCTTGTTTCTATTCCCCTGAACCTCAGGTTTCTGCAAAACCCAGAGTCCGGCTCACACCTGATCCCTGGTTCACCTCTCCCCTAGAAACCGGCACAGGAAGATAAGCCTGCCATCCAAGCTGCAGCCAGATTTGTGGAAAAGCAGTGAGCGCAGGGGGAGGTGATTTTTAAACCCCTAGGGGAAGAGATCCTCGGGGATGAGGGCGGGCAGTGAAGACAGTTGCTAACAGTCCTTAGGACAAGCAGGTACCCACCCTATTGTGGCGCAGATCCTGCCCTCTCGCGCTCACTGAACTAAGATCCTGGGTAGCGTGGACCAAGATCTAACAGTACACACAGTGCAAGCCCTTCTCAGACACAGACCTAGGCCACAGCCCCCCTACCCTAAGTGATACCGAGGAGTGGCCACTCCATCACACAAGGTCTGGGAGCTGTGTCGAACAGTCGATTGATTCTCTCCATCCACTTCTATCCCCAAATGGCCCATCCAATTTCTGCAAATGAGCCAAGGTTTCAAAGGCTTGCCAGCTCCCCCAGAGACCCAGGCAAAGCCTGTCCCTGCCACTCTAGGGTCCAGGAGTCCAGATGGAAGGCCTAGACTTCTTGGAGAAGAGGGACAGAAGTGTGCCTTCTAAACTGGGCAGGTGACCTAAAGACGCCTGCTTACCATTCTTATGTAACCTGATGTGCGAGATAGGATCCCAAGGGGACCCGGGACTACCCCGTGGTTCCCTCCTAACCCAGCCAGAGCTTGCAGCAAAGGTCCTGAGCAAAGGAAGCCCTGTTGGTCAGACACCTTTCCCAATACCCTCCCTCCCGGTCCTGCGGAGCTGAGGAAGAGACTGGGGCGCGACCTGTCAGCAGGTCTAGGGCATGCATACCCCTTTCGAGTTCCCCGCAGTCCCCGCGACAGTTTTCTCCCGCCCACCCCGCCCTCTCCTCCGTCCGTGCACAGCACCTCCCAGCACGCGCACTGGGGGAGGAGAGCGAGGAGAGAGCGCCCCGCTGTCCCGGCCGCAGACAGGACTGGCCGGCCCAGTCTGGGAAGCCACGGGTGGGCAGCGGCTGCAGCTCTCCCGTCCAGAGCTCGGGGCCCCGGGTCGGGTGGGAGCCCCCAGCGGTAGCTACTACGACGGTGGCCGCCCCAGGTGCCCGCGGCCGCGCGCCCCGCCTACACCCTTCCCAACACCCCCCCCCCATCCGCGGGCACCCACCGTGCAGAAGCCGCTGGCGGAGGCGGCGCCCCCGGACCCAGACCCCGGCTGCAGGCGCCGTGCCCACTCCGCGCCGCTGCCGCCCGCTGCCCAGGCCCGTCCCGGCCCGGGAGCCGCCGCGGCGCCAGCCCCGCCGCCGCCGCCGCCGCCGCCGCCGCCGCTGCAGCCTCTGCCGCCGCCAGCGCCCCCCGTCGCGGCCGCCGAGCGTCCCTCCCGCAGGCTGTGGCGGGCGGCGGGACGGGTTGCATCAGCCCCGGCTATATAGCGGGCCCTGAGTCGCGGCGGGGAGGGGTCGGGAATGCGGAACCGACCCAGCTGCCAGCTCCACACGTCAGAGGGGGACGGAGAGGAAGAGAAGGAGGGGACGGGGAGAAGGGGGGGGGGAGGTGTGGATCGCTCGCTTCACACCCACTGACCTTCACCTCCCCCGCCGCCGGCGCCCTCCTCCCGCCGCGGCTCCCGCTCCTCCGCCTGCCCGGCCGGCCGGGGCCCTGTCGCGCTGGTCCCGGCAGCATCGCGGTCCCGCGGCGCGCCCCGCCCGCGGCTCCCGAGCGCGCGAGGCAGCAGGACCCGGCGAGCGGTTATGTAAGCGCATCCCCTGCTCGGTCGCGCGGCCGCCACCCCCGAGGCGCTGAGCAGCCAGGGAGGCAGGGACGCGAAGGCGGCGGCCGGACGAGCGGAGAACCCCTTCCAGCTCAGCCCGCGCTGAACCATCCTCCTCCGTCCGGCGCGCTCTCCCCCCCAAACCCAGAGCGAGGGTGACGTTCGGCGCAGTGATGTCTTCGGACGCTGCGGGATCTCGCAAGCCTGTTTTGGTTTTTGTTTTTTTTTTCCGTGGCGGAGCATGGGCGGGGAGATTAAGGCGTTTGGAAGCCTCTGTCCCCACCCGCTGTCCGCCAAAGCGCCATGAGGTCCTGAAGCCACGCTGTGAGTGGACCGAGACCCAGACTGGAGCTGCAGCTAGAGGCCACCGTTGTCAGTGGCTGGCCCAGTTTGACCCAGGGCTCTTTGCCCAACTCCCGCAGGCTTTTGCCTGCCTTTGACAGGACGCAGCCGTGAGCGGACTTGACTTCTGCAAGACCTCCAACAGCCTTCTTCCTCAAGGACTCCCAGGGCTGGCTTCCACGCCTTCCTCCCAACCTCCTACAGAGGTAGATAGTAAAAGGACACTCCAGAGAAAATATGACAGTCTTTCGAAGGGTGGTACACAGAGCCCTCAGGCAGAAACACACGTGACATCTGAGAGCCATTGTTGTCATCCCAGATCTCCAAACCCTTGGGTGACCAGCCAGCGCACCCCCCCACCACCACCACCTTTCTGCTTAAGCCAGAGAGGGGTGGCAATGTTGACACTCAGTGACCTTCAGACTCCTTCTCAGAGGAGATGGCAGGTCATCACCCATAGAAGAAAGGAAGTGAAAGAAAAAGTTCATGCCTTCGTGGAGTACCAGCGCTCAGAGTGAAAGACTTCAACTCGGAGGGAAGGAAGTCCAGAGGCAAGCCAGACATCCCATTCCCATGTGCCTGCCTGCGGGGAGGCATCCTTCTCCACGTTTCTCTTAAATCTCTCTGCAGGGGAGAACAGGTGGACTAGAAAGAGACAGACCAGGTCCCAGTGACATCACCTGTCTGTCTTCACGGTCACCATCAGCAGCTTGCCTCACAACACTGATGCAAGAAAAAAAAAGAACTCCAAAAGAACACCCTCTGCCAGCTCAGTAGTCATGTGATAGTCCTGTACAAGAACATGACTCTCCATCCCAGAAAAGCCAGCAACACCTTTACCACGGCCCAAAGATCAAAACTGGAGACTGTGAAACTGCCTTACATGATGTTTCTCCCCCAGGATGAGGGGTCTGGGCATTTATGTGAAAGAAAACACTGAACACGGGAAAGCACTACTTTATGCATCCTCTGTTGGGACTTTGAAAAAGCTAAACTGATCTCTGTGCAGGGACTAATAATTAACATGTGTGGTTAAAGCTGGTCCTCTCCAGGGCGCACTTTGGATCGTGGCTGGGGTGACTGGTAGTCCTACTGGGCCTTTACTTCCTGCGTTAAATATGCTATAGGGAAGGCACTAGGGGGGTCACTAAGGAGTCTTTATTCCCTCTCATCTCCCATAATATCCATTAGGCTTCCCCTTTTTGATATAGATGTTCTCCATTTTTATATACAAATGCAGCTCAAGACCTGTCTCCTAGGCATACTGTTTCTGACCAGACCCCTGTGTATAGACTTTGCCTCTGGGAGAGGCTAGGGAAAGGCCATAGCCAGCTCCTCTGTGCAGACTTACCGTCTCCTGATGTAACTGATCTACCTCAGGCGCTTAGGGAAACAATGGTCTAGCCTAAAGCAATCTGAATGTAGGTGGCCTGTCTCTTGCAAGTCCTGATTAAGATATACAGCCATGGCCGGTGGGCTGATTCAAAGATAATCACATACCCCAGTTCCAATTGATGAGACTAGGTGTTTTCCCAAGTTGCTGGGAAGAGAGGCTTCGAGAAGCTGACCTGAAATTAGTAGATGCCGCCTCAGCAAAGGAGTTTCCTGGGAATAATATTAATGCAAAGAACAGTAGAGGGACGCCAAGCCACCCAGGAGAGAGTGACAGTGGATGCTGATGACACCCAGGCCCTACATCCAGCCAGGCCTGCTTTCCTCCCTGCCACTGGGGATTCCATTTAGGAATCTGTAAACCGTGGCTTGTCCGAGGCAGCTTGGGTTCAGATTTCTTAGTATTTGCTACTAACGTCCTCCTCAATGGAGCATGTGTTGGGGTGGGGATAAAACCCAGTTGGTAGAGTGTCCTCCTAGCATGCATAGTCCCTGGCACCAGCATACATTTGGCATAGTGAAACATACCCATAAACTCAGTGTTTGGGTGGTAGGGGCAGGAAGATCTGGAGTTCAAGTTCATCCTCAGCCACATAGTGAGTGTCAGGCCGGCCTGGTATATGTGAAACCCATGCTAAATAAATAAATATACATTGGCTGTTGTATCTCTTATTTGGACTATCCTGTTTTAAAGGTTAATGGACACTGATAAATCCCAAGCTTTTTGCCGAGGAAAAAAAGTGAATTGATGCGATAAAACAGTTCCCCAGAACTGTCCCTCAACATCAAAAGGGGAAGCGATAGCTCTGACTAACCAACCGATCGGCTCACCGTTACACTCAGTATTTACTGAAAATCTGTTAGATGCCTGTGACCTGTGATGTGCACGAAGATGTGGTTCCTCACCTGTCCCCACCTCCCATCTAGTTAGGAAAAATGAGTTCAAACAAACAACAAAGAGCCAAGCAGCAACAGTCAAGTGTGGCTGAGAGGTAACTACTTAGGCACTGCAGGAGTCCAGGCAGGATTCCCGCTTCCGTCTCCATTCCAACCGTGTCCACCAAGATTATAAACTGCTGATGCTTCTTCACACGATGGGGTTATGCTGTGGCAAACCCACCGCGAGCTGAAGAGTCCATAAGCCAAAAGATGCATTTAATTCATCCAACTTACAAAGTACCAGGGCTTAGCCCAACCTACCTTCAGCTTGCTCAAAACACGTGTGTTAGCCTAGCCTTGGGCCAAGTCTTCTAACACACAGCTTATGCCCTGTGTTCATGTTTCATGCGATTTACCCACTGCCGGACTGGAAGGGAAAAAACAGAACGGCTGTGTGAAGGCGTGCTAACACCGCCGTAAAGTTGAAAGATGGTATTTCCAATCACCGGAAGTCAGGGATCATGTGGCAAGCTGTTAGGCTTCTGGATCAGCCTTTGTATTACCTTTTTTTTTTATTGCTGTGATCAAATGCCTGGCTCAGGGGGTAGCGTTCACCTTGGTGCGGAAGGCATGGTGGCAGCAGCATCTTGGTCAGACCTGTGCACGTCAGGAGCAGAGAAGGGAGCCATGTTGCACCTGCTGGCTTGCCTTCTCCTGTTCTCAGTTTTAGTTTGTCCAGAACCCTAGGCATGGGATGGTGCCACCCACATCCGGGTAGGTATTGTTCCCTCGGTTAAGCCTCCCTTTGAGTTAAACCTCTCCTTCTGCGCCTCCTTTTATTCCTCTGCCTCCTCTTCTCTATGTCCCAAATATTTCACTCAAAATCTATATTGCTACCTTCTCTCAAAAAAAGCAAAGCCCAGGGCTGGAGAGATGGCTCAGCCATTAAAGACTGAAGCTCACAACCAAAAAACTCAAAGCCAGACAACTTTGGGTCTACATCCAGGAGTGAAAGCTGGGTAGGCTTTACAGAAGTATCCCAGTCCGTTGACTTAACACAAGAAAGGTTATTCCTTACTGTTGTGTAACAGAACTTTCCCTGGGGAAATGCAATCTACACATCTACTCACCCCAGACAGGGAGCCCACAACACGGATACCAAAATACGGATACCTCCAAAGTCCAATTTGGTGAACCATGAGTTTTATTGAGGTTACCTACAGAATCAGAAATGACTCAAAGACAGCTTTTCACCAAAGCCCACCCCAACGTGGATGACAACTCACACATGGGAACCTGAGCACACGTCACAGCCTGCAGGTTGGAGAGCATCTTTCCACCTGCCTCAGTTGGTCCACACCTCTTCCAGGCAGCTCAGCTGGTTTCTGCTCCTTCCAGGCACCTAGTCTGCTCTTGGTCTTCTTTGCAGCTCTGTTCCGCTCATTTTAGAGGGACTCTCAGCTTTTATCGTTTACTCTGGCAGGGAGGGGCCTAGTGAATCTGGTCAGTTTCAGGGACTTCCGCAGTTTCTTTGAGTTGTTTACCTTTGTGCTCAAGGAGCTTCCCTACAAAGTGTAATGTTTCTGTCTTGGAGGGACCTGTTACACAACCCTCACAAAAGACAACTATGGATCTAGGTGATTGGCCAGGGCAGCCATCCTATCGGTGAGGGCTTGGTATTGTACCTTCCTGTCAGCAAGGCCACCATGGCAAAGAGAGACGAGAGGACCAAGCACCAGCAGTCCAGTCATCCCTCTTGGAGTCCATCACTTTAGCTAGCTTCATTTCATTGGCCAAAATAAGGTGGTTCTTGATCCAAAATCCACAGAGAAGAGAAGCAGGAATTAGCGAGCAATTAATGTCTACCACCGCATGCACTTCCTTTTGACAGTGATAGCCTGAAACCCACTATGTAGCTCCAATTCTATTTAGTCTTAAGGATAAAAACCCAGAGTCAGATATTGGGGTAAATGCTGAAAGATCAGAGAAGTGAAACAGCCACAGTCACCTCTGACCTCCACAGCCTGAAAGGGGGCTGAGCCTCTGTCTCCTCCTGCCTTATATTCCTCTCTCTGTCCAGCCATATCACTTCCTGTCTCCACCTCCCTAGGGCTGGGATTAAAGGCGTGTGCCTCCCAAGTACTGGGATCAAAGGCGTGTGCCTCCCAAGTACTGGGATCAAAGGCATGAGATCCCAAGTCTGAGATTAAAGCTGGGAGCCACCACTGCCTGGCCTCTGTGGTTAACTAGTGGCTGGCTCTGCACTCTGATCTCCAGGCGAGCTTTATTTGTTCGAGCACAAACAAAATTCCACCACACCACTAGAAACTGTTCCTTCGATGTGGCATGTAAACTCCCTAGTTTGACACAGTTCCATCCTCCTTCCGTCATTTACGCCGCCTGTCTGGACTCACAGGATGCTTGTTTTGACAAGTCCTGGTATAGGCAAAGCCAATCTCAGTATCAGACTATCATCTATCCCTAATGAGCTATGGAGTTACCATTTCCTCCCACAGGCTCATGGTTTGAAGTCTTGGTCTGCCGCTCGCTGGCAGTGTTAATGTGGGAGGTGGGGCCAGGTTCAATTCCCAGCACCCACATGGCAGCTCACAGCTGTCTATAACTCCAGTTCCAGGGGATGCAGCACCTTCACACAGACATACATGTAGGTAAAACACCAACACACATAAAAGAAATAAATTATTAAAAAGCCATTGGAGGCATATAGAGTGCAGCTGTTGGTGGTCATTTTCCTATCTTGTGACTGGAGTCTGACCTAGATAGGAACCGATGCATAGAGGAAAAGAAAGTTCTGACATGTAAGAAGAGAACTAGCCGTGAGTTCACCATTTGAATCCCTGAGTCTAACATGGAACATGAACATGCTGGATCAGTCTTTGGACACTGTAGTGATGGAGTCATCCCCCTCTTCCTTTCTTGTTGATAAGATGGCTTGAGTCAGGTTTTCTGACACTTGCCACTGAAAGAATGCTGAAGAATACATACAGAAGATACCCAAAGTCAAACTTTCAGAGGAATGCTGAATTGGCTCCATAGAATTTTATCTGTTTCTATTATTGCTCATCCATCAAATGCCACTCATCCTCTAAGATACTAAATCCGGAACTGTAGAAACTGCTTTCTCATGGTTCACAGTTGAGTTAGTCATTTAAATAATTTAGTCAGACAACCTCATTTGAATATCTGCTCGGAGCTGGTGCCTTCCTTATAAAGGAAGCAAAGTAAAAAGAAATTATCATTACTTCTTGCCCATAAAGAATGGCAGCCTATAGACTAGGAGTATAGGACAAGTGGTATAGTTCTTGCCTACCATGCACAAAACCCTGGATTTGATCCCCAGCATCCCAGAAACCAGACAACCTGTAATTCCAACACTCAAGAGTTGGAGGCAGGAGGATAAGGAATTCAGTCATTCTCAGCTACGTATCGAGTCGGAGGTCAACTTGGCCTATAGGGGACACTATCTCAAGTTAACAAAACAAAACAAAAACAAACAAAAAACACACAAAACAAACAAAAACCAGCCTCAAGGTCCAGGAAGACGAGTGATACTCATGGAATTGAGGCAATGAATGACTGGGAGCCAGAGAAAACCTGATACATTATGCTCCCAGAATGGAGTGATCCCTGAAGGCAATACTAGGGTTATATGTAGACTCGCTGAGCTCTGTTAGATCAAAACGATGTTTCAATCACATTAAATTTCAAATCATGAGTTAACAAGTAAATACTGACTAAAGAAGTGAATGAATTAACAGATTTTGGATGGGACCCAGTCTTAGGACACAATGATCTTTCAGCATGAGGCAAATACAAAAAGGTTGAGAACGGTGGCACATACCTACAATCCCAGCACTCAGGAGGCTGAGGCAGGAGGAGTTTGAAATCAGCCTGGAATACGTGTTGAGTTCAAAGCCAGCATAGGCTACATACTAAGACCTTGTCTCAAAAATAAACAAGCAAAACAAAGGAAGGAAGGGAGGGAGGGAGGGAGGGAGGGAGGGAGGGAGGGAGGAAGGGAGGAAGGGAGGAAGGAAGGAAGGAAGGAAGGAAGGAAGGAAGGAAGGAAGGAAACACCACAACTGAGTTCAACACAGAAATAAGATCTGAAATGGTCTTGGTGCCTTTGCTTAGATCTGGGGGGCACATTATAATCTTAGAGATGTAGAGTGAAGAAACACCAGTTACTTTTACAAGAGGGGGTTTAATGATATTTCGTCTTAGCCCCACACAATGCTGCTTCTAGAGGCACTAAAGACTCCCCCACATCTTCCTTATTTTTCCCTGCTTCCCACTCCAAGGAAGTGCTGCTGCAGATTGATCCGACTTAACATAAGTAGTCTGGACCTAGTATGGGACATGGTGGTTCATACCTGTAATCCCAGCTCTTGGGCAACAGAGTCAAGAGAATAAGGAGTTCGAGGTCAGCTTCAGCTACATACTTACTGAGTTAGAGGCCAACCTGGGCCACCTGAGACCCTTAAAAAAAAAAGTTAGCCGGGTGGTGGTGGCGCACGCCTTTAATCCCAGCACTCGGGAGGCAGAGCCAGGCGGATCTCTGTGAATTAGAGGCCAGCCTGGTCTCCAAAGCGAGTTCCAGGAAAGGCGCAAAGCTACACAGAGAAACCCTGTCTCGAAAAACAAAAAAACAAAACAAAAAAAAAAAAGTTGAGCCGGGCGGTGGTGGCACACCCCTTTAATCCCAGCACTCGGGAGGCAGAGGC